TTTTGTATATTGATGCAAATTTAAGGTTATTTTTGTTACAACATACTGTGTATATGCTTCTATTTTTGTTTAAGGTATTGTGCCTATGTAGTTCATTTAAAAATGTAAGATGAAGGGGCTGGAGAGATGGCTCAGAGGTTAAGAGCATTGCCTGCTCTTCCAGAGGTCCTGAGTTCAATTCCCAGCAACCACATGGTGGCTCACAACCATCTGTAATGGGGTCTGTTGCCCTCTTCTGGTCTGTAGGCATACACACAGAATATTGAATACATAATAAATAAATAAATAAATAAATAAATATTTTATAAAAAAATGTAAGATGAAGTTCTAGTCCTTGAAAGCTATTATTATAAACCATTTATGATAATTAAGAAGCTCAGATTAGTAGTTAGTCATCTATAACAATCAGACTTGTTATGTTAGAAATGTTTTCAAGATCATACAGAGATATATTTTAGGTAGGCAGAAGGTCTTCAAACACGTCAGAGACCTACAGAATGTGGCATTTAAATGTTTTCTTAACATAGGGCTTTTCATGACAGAGTCTGTTCCTGGCAGTATCGTTCTACTTCATAAAAGGATGATGGGCATTGAAGAACCTCCACATGGCAAAGTTAACCATTTGAGTAAGAAACTTCCCTGGACTCGACTGCTGACAGTATGCTGTACAAACTGGACAAGCTGGACACAAAGGAAAAAGACTGCCAAACTTTGCCAAGACAGGACATGACAGTCCCTCAAAATTCGTGCTAGAAAAGTCTGCCAGATATCCTAGGCCTGTAAGTCAAAGATGGATGCCCCAACATTGCAGAGAAACCTTGGGTGACTGTTCAGACTGTCAAATGTCACTTTCATTTCTATAGTTTTAGAAGTTTCTTGTTCTGCACGTTCTGTTTCCTCAGGTAATTTTATTCCCTTCTCAAGTCTGATGGAGTTGAAGACTGGACAGTTATAGTTACAGTTTTCCTTAGTTATAATAGAAGGTAAATTAGGTACAGAGCTTTGAACTCATCAAGATAGGATAGATAATGGAGCGATTTCCCCAATGTTGCCAAATGCAAAGGGACTGGGTATGATAAATAAATTCTTACTTGATAAGTATTCTTATTGTACATAGTTTTACTATGTTAAAGCTAAAGGCTTTCTGTCTATTTAGAGTAAAAAGGGGGAATATTGTAGAATATTTGCTTAGCTATGTAAAGATGTGCTGCATTTGCGTTAGTTAAATAAAATTAACCTGTGCTAACAACTAGTTAACTAGGAAGTAGCAGGGAGGTGTTATAGCATGGGTATAGATGGAGCATTAGGAAGAAGAATGGCTTCCAGGGATGCCAGCAAATATACAAAGTTGGCCAGTTATTACTCTGACTCTCTGAACTCACAGGTTTTCACCTTAGCCTTTGAATCTTGAGTTTTATTAGAATAATAGAGATTTAGTAAGAACTACCTTTAGAGTCATTGTCTGGGGAGCAGAATTTCTCCCAGGCTACATACAGCCTGAGTGACTGGACCACTAGTAGTTTAAAGCTCAGCCACTGTGATGAAGGTAAAAACAACAGACGCCCTCTTCTGGCTTCCTTGGGCACTACATGCACACGGTGCACAAACATGCCTTCTGGCAAAACACACACATGAAATAAAAATAAAGTCTCAAAAAATAGGTTTAACAACAACAACAACCACAAAAGGAGTACACTCCTAAGCATTGTCTGCTTAAGGTAAGAAAAGAGAGACTTGCTTAGCTCAGTGCCATGGATCAATAGCTGGCATCGTGCGAATGCATGCCTTTAGACCAAGCACTCCAGAGGCAGAGGCACAGGCAGGGGTTATCTCTGTGAATTGGTGATGGCTAACATTATATTTTAAGTTTAGATTGCTGTGCTTAAGAGATCTATAAAACAAAGCTAGGTGGCAGTGGCACACACTTTTAAAAGCTACACAAAGAAACCCTGTCTCAAAAAAAAAAACCCAAAACAAAAACAAAACAAAATAAAACAGACAAACAAACAAAAATCCACCAAAGACATTTTTAAAACAAAATGCCTCTAATTTGTAAACCCCACTTTCTCAAAGATGGATAACTTCCTGGAATTCTGGGAGCTTTTCTTGCAGTTTCCAAGTTTGGTAAAATTTTAATGAAACTGTCCATGTGAGATAACAAATTTAGAGCGTTTGCATCTGTAAACAAGCCTGCTTGCCCCAGTTGCATGTAGGCAGAAAGTACATCAGTATGTGTGATTGTCCCTGGTTGCAGGAGGGCAGGAAGTAAGCAGGCTTGTAAGTTTCACCTTTATAAGCCCCTGACTAATGCAATTCAGTGCTACACCTTGGGAATCCAAATCTTGGTGTAGACCTGGTACCCAAGTAAAGCCTGCTCTTTGTTTAAAATTTACTCGTGGTGAAAATCTGAATGACTCCAGACCCATAACAAGCTCATAATAACTGGCGTCTGGACAGCGTGGTTGATCTGGACAGCCATGGATATGTAGTGAAAGCTTGTCCCACAAACATTCTTGGGACAAGAATGGTTCTGGGCATGCTCAGTTCACTCCATAATGTTTTAGCTCAAAATAAAGGCATTGTGAAGGTGCATTGATAGAGGCATCTGCCTTGTTTAACAGTTAACAGGATTTTCTCTTTTGTTAATGTGTGGGGGAGTGTATGATGTGTGGATTGAGGGGAACACAGTATGCATGTGGAGGTCAGAGCATAACTTTTTTGGATTTGGTTTTCTCCTCCTACCTTTATGTGGGTTCTGGGGGTCAAACTCAATTTTCCAGGTTTGTTTGGCAAGCACCTTTATCCAGTGAGCCATTGAACCAGCTTCAGACTGATTTCCTAAGTTCTAAACTGAAGCTGCCTTGTGATTGTATTGAGCCACACATCCTTAATCAGAGGTAGTGAACACCTGCTGATTCTGTTTTAAAACTCAATTCTTAAATAATGCACACACTCTACAGGGCTGAGTGGTTTATTGGCAAGAAAATAGCATGACTTGATTTTCCCTTGAATTTATTTAGTAATACAACCTATAATTATTTTCTATGATTAGCTTGAATTTTCCCAAATGGTTATTTTTACATCTGCTTATGTCTCCTGGAAAATGGCTCTGTTGTTTTCAGGCTGGCGGTTCAGAGACCTTCCTAGGACAGTCATGCCCAGAGGTGTCCAGGGGGTTCTTGGTGGACTCCACCATGGGTGGGTGCTTAGATCTGCACCTGATGTGGTGGTAGGTACCAGCCCTAAAATTACAAGGCTAGGAACAAACAAAGCTTAGTGTCTTGGATTCAGAAAGGCCTGTCTTATGCTCAGTGTCCCTAGCAGAGGTCAGCCCACTAGCTCTGGTGGCCACGAAGAGCTATGGTGAGATGCACCTCAGGATGTATTTCTGGTTACAGTTGGTAGAACTAACCCAGCTTCCCTCGCTCTGAGCAGTTGAGCCCAGTAGATCATTAGAAAGTCCAGATAGTCATTAAAATCACCCATCTATGTGGTGACAATGGAAATTGTGAGTGTGTGTCCTTGGTTGCAATGTCTCAGACAAGATGCTGAGAGGTGGTCCATCCCCCACCCTGGCAGAAATGAAGATATTCTAAGAGAGAAGCTGACACTGTGTCCTTTGTACACAGACTGCACTTATGTTTCCCAGCCACCCAGACCTAAATAATCACACACAGAAAAAATGGTATTAATCACATCACTGCTTGGCCAATAGCTTAGACATATTTCTAGCTAGCTCTTACATCTTAAATTAACCCATTTCTATTAATCTTTGTATCACCACTAGGCTGTGGCCTACTGGTAAGTTTCCAGTGTCTTTCTCCTTTGACAGCTACATGACGTCTGCCTGACTCCACCTTCTTTCTCCCTGCATTCAGTTTAGTTTTCCCTGCCTACCTCTGTTTTGCCCTGCCATCGGATTGTTTATTAACCAATGGTAATAAAACATGAGCATGCAGAGGGGAATCCCATGTCAGTCCTTCCAGCTGACTATCACACTACTGAAACAATGGCCCCCAGAAATTGGAATTTTCCCAGGAATCTCAAGCTGGAGGAAGAAAATGGCTGAAGCACATTAGCCAGAAGAGGAACTTGTCCCCAGAAAGATATTTCACAGAGTCTAATCTAATCACCTTACTGGACAAGTTGCTGATGGGTCAGTGAGAGGCAAGACCACACTGGATCAGGCCTGCTTAGCTATGTATAGCTTCTGTCCTCTGTTTAAAGTGTGCGTCATGCCGGGACACTAAAGATGGACTTAGAGGTCACTGAACCTCTTACTCATTCCTTTCCCGGTGTGGTTATAGTGAATACATCTGCTTTCTCTTCTTTTCACAAGTGTCTGTCTCTTTAATTGACTTCATGAAGATGGATGGTTGAGTCTAGATTAACTGGGCTCTGGAGTCCAGCCTTTGATCCTAAAACTGCCAGTAAAACTCCCACCAGAACCACCAAGTCATCTCCAGAGCCACGGGGAGGCAGGCATTGATGGTGGTTGCTGCTGGAAGAAGCAATCAGAGAATGGCACTTCGCTGGGCCTCAAGGGAAGCCTTGGCTTTTAAGACCCATGTTAGTTACAAAGGGAGAAATAAAAAATGCAGAGTGTATGCTACTAAGAAATGTGGGCTATGATGTGGCAAAGCGGTAGAGTATTTGCATAGTACAGGCAAGATCCTGGATTCAATACTGAGCACCACAAAAAAAAAAAAAATTGTAGAGGCTGGAGAGATGTCTCAGTGGTTAAGAATACTTGCTGCTCTTCTTGAGGACCCAAGATCAGATCACAGTCCCACATCGGGTGGCTTGTAACTGCCCTAAACTTCAGGTCCAGGGGACCCTCTTCTGACTTTCTGACTTCTGTGTCAGGACACACACACACACACACAAACAAATAAAAAAAAATAAAAACAAATCTTTTTAAAATGTGAGCAGAAATAAAAGAGCAAAGGCAACATTAGTAATGATGAGGTTAGACATTTAAAGATGGTAGAACATGCCAGGTGGTAATGGCACATGCTTTTAATCTCAGCACTCAGCCAGCAGAGACAGGTGGATCTCTGAGTTCAAGGCCAAGGCCAGCTTGGTCTACAGAGTGAGGTCCAGGACAGCCAGGGCTACACAGACACAGAGAGACCCTGCTTTGAAAAAAAGATGGTAGAACCATATAGAAAATGTGGAATATGATTGTCCTGCTCTCTGACCTGATTAAAAACAAGATGCCAGGAATATGGAAAGTCATAACTAGCAAAGGGAACCTGCCCCAAGCATGGAAGGGATGAAATGAATCAAGATCTCTCTGCTCCAATCCAAGTCCGAAGAAAACTCCTGGGATCCGTGTTCTGCATGGCTGCTCGTTAGAGTGACTGAAGGGGGTGGTGGACTCTGCGGGCGGCAACTCACTGCTAGGCTCACCAGAGTGGCACCGATCGGTGGCTCACCAGAGTGGCAGCGCCATTTCCTTCCTTTCTCTACTTAGAGCACTACACTAAGCTGATGCTAGCGGTGTCTGCACCTGTACCCCCAACACTGTACATGTGGAGGCAGGAGGATCACTTGAGTCTAGGAGGATGATCTCCAGCTTGGACCACTGGGCTGAGGAGGGTAGGAGCTAGGGTCCCAAAGGAGACCACAGTATTGTGAAGCAAGTCCACCAGAGAACACACACAGATCCTCTTAAGGCCGAATAAAAAGTATGTATTGCATGACCTTCCCAAGTCATACAGCCCTGAGCCTCACCATTTCTTGCTTTTTGAGCACAAAACCACATCCTGGGTGACACAGTTCAGTTAGAACAGTTAGTGAGAAGCAAGAACTACAGAAACCAAAAGCAAAGTTAGTCCATTCAGGGACTTTCCCAGATCCTGAAACTATGGACTAGGTCTTTGTTCCCGTTTTGGCAGGTGTTGGGGCCTATGATCCATGGTGTCTGTTGTGCTAAGATCTCAGGGCCTGTTATAACAGGAGTCTTGGAGTTGGCTCCTGGAAGCTCTAGTTTGCAAGCCGACTCTCTTTCACTTGGCCGGATTTGTTCATAATGGCCTTCAGCAAGTTCAGGAATCAATGGTTCCACAGGCCTCCCTGGTGCTGTTGCCTGAGCCATTTGGAGCAGTTGCGGGGCCACTCCTGGATGGTGTTGACTCCTGGACAGTGTCTGCTAGCTGTGTTTGTTAGTTTTCATAAATACCTTCTCTGCATGGGCAGAAGCCGCTCCGGCCTGCCTTAGTCAATGTTCTACTGCTATGAACAGAGCACCATGGCCAAGGGTCCCTGTCATAGAGTTTGGGGGGCCCAGAGACAAATTTAAGTAGCATGAGGCACATTCTGAGTGCATATTTTTTCCCCCATTTTTGGTTGTTTGTTTTATTTTGTTTGAGACAAGGTCTTACTGGGTAGCCCAGGCTGGCCTGGAACTTGCTATGTAGACTAGGCTGGCTTCAAACTCACAGAGATCCACCTGCCTCTGCCTCCCAAGTGCTGGGATTAAAAGTGTGCACCAACATGCCTGGCTCTTCTTTAAACAGCCTAGACTTTTCAGAAGTTTGTCTATTTCTTTAAATACCAGGTCTCCCCATTTTGCTCAGCTAGTCTTATGATCTTACATTTGAGAATTAAAACAACGCTCCTACCCCAGCCTTCTGAGCAGCAGAGAGTGGCCTTATCTATGGTAACTATTATCTCCAATCATTTACATCCTATGATAGCGAGTTTTCTGTTAAATTGATACAAGCTGGAGTAATCTGAAAGGAGGGAACCTCAATTGAGAAAATGCCTCCCTAAGAGATGGGGTTGTAGGCAAGTCTGGAGGGCATTTTCTTAATTAGTGATTGATGTGGGAGGGCCCAGCCCTTTATGGGTGGTGCCATCCCTGGACTGGTGGTCCTGGGTTCTATTAAGAAAACAGGCTGAAGCTGGGTGGTGGTGGTGCAAGCCTTTAATC